TTACTTGTGTAATATTCCGTGTGTTAAAATAACGGAAATAAACTAACCGCATGTGTTACAGTTTGATGTTAATAACCACTTGGATATTATCCCATTAACGGTATTTGAAACGCAAGAGATCCTGTCAAATCCTGTTGAAATCGTGTGGCTTCTTTCTTCCGCTAAAAATATAATTATTGAGACCTGGCGCAGATAATCTCTGAAGCCATCTCCGTGCAGTTAAAGTGGAGTTTAAAAGTTATTATTACGACGATCCTGCAAAGAACTGTTAAGATCTTCGTAAGCGTCTAAGTTCAGATTTGCAGTTATTAAGATTACTTCTGTTTTGTTTTTTATATGGACAACACAACCACACATTAAACCTTCTGGTTCTCGTTACTGGTAATAAACGCGGTTTCGAGTTGCACAAATGGACAGTTTGGAGCACTAATCGGCTGTCATGCTTTTTGATAGACGGGATGTTACTAATTGAACGCTATTAATTTAATCATCCACAAGAATATATTAATAATTAAACACTGCAGCATAATTGAACGATAAAGGACATTCAAGTGGCTGTAATTCATGAATGAATCTCGATTTCAACCGACTCATATCAGGATTTTTACTTTTTTCAACTTCCAGATTAAATGCTTCATATTTAAAGAAACGAAGATAGTCGGGTTGAGCCAGAGGCAAAGTTATTTGCCGAGAAATGTCCAAGTTAATGGGTATTCCGCACAGGTTTGAATCTACCTTGAGATTGTTTTTTTTTTTTTTTAACTACATAACGATTGCTCTGCCTTTGTAGATAAAAGTCTAACGCGACGGCAAGATCTTCGGATGATTTCAAGTTGCAAAAAAAATAGAGTTATTGGCTCAGATATGAAGCCAGTTTCTTGCCAATAAATTAAACCTGTGCACGAAATAAATTCTCTAAAATGTTCCCTCGGGAAAAATGTGCACTAATAAATGTCCATAATATTTTATTAAAAAACAATAATGACGAGTGTTGTGAGTAAGTATTGCAGAAAAGAATTTGGTCGAGAGTTGTAAGCGCCAAAATACCGTTTAATTTTTTTTAATTCTGTCATGTGGTCATAAAGAATCATCAGTTATAGAGGAACAGTACTGACTGCTAAAATGCGTTAGGAATTTAATAGTTTCCTGTTAAAATTTGTTGCTGTCAGTCGAACGTTTATAAATAAAAAGTTTCTTATGAGAATCTGAGATTTTGAGTTATTTGTCAAAAATTGCATCATGATGAAGATTTTATAATTGTTACGTGATATGTATAATTGAATTAACTAATAACTGATAATTGGTTAATTCAGTTATCACGAATTACTGTTTCAGTTGGTATCAAAAATATAGGTTGAAATTGGTAAAACTGTCACACCACCTTACTTTCTGTTGTGAAAATTGACATGATTGACAATAACATTTAATTTAAATTAAGATTTCTTATTGATTATTATTTATTATCAAAATGTTATAAGTTATACCGAACTTTATAGAGCGCTGATAAGATAAGCGACATATTTAACACTAAGGATTTGAATCAGAGCAAGAAAAATTTCTCAGAATTGGTTAATTTTATTGTTAATTCAAACATGGACCCCACTGTATATTAACTAAGTAAGTACAATCCAACAAATTCCGCTTCTTTAAAAAATCATAGAAAATTTGTATTTTCTAATAACCTTTATATAGTAAAAACCAGTGGTATAAATGACACCTCGCATCTCCGCAGATATACAGACAATATGAAATATATTCAACCCAAATAACCAACGGAAAAGAGTGTATATGCTTAACTTTGATTGTTTATGGTTATACATTGAAAGAATGTCACGTAGAAATTTTGTTTAATTTGAATGAATTCTCTCACAAAAACAGAACACTAAAATTATTAATTAAGCCACAATGAAACAAAATGTTTTGAATATGATTATTATTCTTATTTGATCATAATTAAATAAAAATGTGGGTATTCTCACATTTTCCAGAAAATGAGGTTCTTAATTTGATCAATAAAAAATTAGTCGAAAGCTATAAGTATAACCCAACAAATCTCTTTAATAAAAAAAATTAAAAAATTTGATTTTGTGATAACCGCTGTAAAGTAAAAACCAAACTCATAAATAACACTCCTGGTCCTTCAGCACTAGGTAATAGCAATCTGAAGCTCAAGTGTTTATTTATATGTTTATAGATCGAAAGAATGTCACGTAGAAATTACTTTGACTTTTAGCGTTATACCAATGCAAGAAAAAAAAAAGAGACGTACAAACCTAGTTGGGAATAAAACGTTATTATACCTTGCAAATGTTTTGCGAAATTTTGAACGTTTAGCGAAAAAACTGAAAGCTGATTCGTACACTACAAACATATTAGTATATTTTTGTATAACATTCAAATCATTTTAAAATATCATTCACTCAAATGACGTCATCAAATTGTTGGTGGGGATGATTAACAAAATTTGGGTTAGCATCTACATGATATTTCTAATATACATACCAAATTTGATAACAATCGGTCTAGCAGTTTCGGAGCTTACGTGTCTAATAAAAATGGGTACAGACACCAGACAGACAGACAGACGGAAACGGGAGACTACTTTTTTGTACTGTAGGGGTCACGAAACGTCGAGAAAACATAAAATGGCCATTCGTCCAATCCACTCGATTACAATACTTCCATCGCTTAGGCTCGGTAGGTAAAAATGATTTTTTTTTACAACTGTAGGCAAAGTTTGCTGTAGACAAATAATGTACATCACTGTCAAATGTATCTCTGTATATAAAATGTAATTAATTGTATGATGGGAGTTCTAAATCAATATTATGAAAAATTATCCTACGAAATCGTGAAAACTTTGAAAAATTCAGAACATTTTGTATCAATAAAAGTGAGACTCACCCCTGAAAAATACTACCACTTGCATAAAAAAGTCACCTGAAAAAGAAAAAAAAAATTATCTTTTTCTTTTTCTTTATCTCCTTAAGGACCATCGAAGTAGCCGGAAAACTCACCCCTTAAACTATCGTATGAACGTCACATCGACAAAAAACTCACCCCCTAACGCCTTCTGATGGATCGATCGTGCTCGAACTAAGCCAGAAAACCGGAAAAGTTACCCTCTAAAGGTTCTAGTGGCCCTATCCACAATAAAATACCCCGAAAGCATAAATGTATTGTCACTTGTGCCAAAAACCCAGAAAATTGACCCTCTAATACGTTTTAATGGACTGACCATAACAGAAGCCAACCAAAAAACTCCCCTCTAAATGTTCTGAATTTTTCTGAAATTTTTTCTGGTCTAGAACCCCCATCATATGGTGGTTATGTTTTGTAGCAACCAATTAAAAAAAAGATGAATTTTGAAAGACAGATCAAGCGAAAAACCACACGAAACATATTTGTAACTGTAAAGCCATTATTTTGCATAAACATTGTTCTAAAGTGATTTAAATTGAACCTTCCTCGCCCCTTAAGTACACTCTACCGAATTCATTTTCGTAGATAAATTGTAAAAATGAATTTTGCGAGTTTTATATTTTGTGTGATATATAAATTAAAATAAAAGGCTGGGTGGAATCGTAAACTGTGAGCAAGGAAGCATAGTATGCATTTTTAATTAAGTCAGTTTTTGGTAATAAAGTTTTGTGCTGACGTCATCAAATTTTTAATAAGGACAAGGTTTTAGGAAAATGAATCAGCAGTTTTTGATTTAGCCAATAAAACAATTTGGTTGATTAATTTATTTTTTGTGATACATCCTGTACAAACAATTATAAAAAATCTACAAGTATGGATTTATAATATTTTGACCATAGGTGTAAACATATAAGAAGATAAAATTTATATAGCAAAATTTTGAGATGACGCCATCAAATTTTTGAAGGAATAAACAAATATATTTTATACCTTCGTTTCCAGATTTTAGAGCAGTCGGTGTTGTAGTTTCTAAATTAAATTATAAAACTTTGAATTATTTCAAAAATTTAAACTATAAAGAGAAAATAAGGGCGGATTAATAAACTACATAGATAGATTCACATGATTTTATAAAATTTAAGTACGATTTACTCTGTGAAATTTTGAGATAACATTATTAAGTTGTTGGTGGGGATACCATAAATTTTGGTTAGCGCTTTATTATCCACACAATATTCTTAAAATACACCTAAATTCCAGAACATACGGTCCTGTAGTTTCGAAAATTATATTTGATGGAAATAACGTGCAAATTCGATTAAATGGCCTTTCGAGCAAAAAACAAAATAGGAGTGCAATCATTTTCAAAATAATTTCTTCAGCAAGATTTTTGTCCCTTTCTTGATAGCATCCCACAAATTGTGTATTGTGACACTACAGTACCTTTTTCTATGATCACCGCATCGTCAAATCTTTATATTAACTTTGAAGCACAAATCATCAAAATAATGTTGAAAAGTATAACGTAGTCTCAAAGACAAGAAGACACCAAAATATTCTTATATTTGTCGTTGGACTAAAAAGTCCACCCATTTTTTTTTTCACTACTGAAATATAATAAAAGAGCTGTAGTAACACCTTTAATTTACCATAGTTTCAAAATTTGTTCAGTTGGTAACCTGAAACTTCTGTAAATTATCTGCATAAATTTGTATGTAAATTACATACATTTTCGAAATTAAGTTACTTTGAGCTTTTTTTGGGAGTTTGTTTAGAAACATTATGTATTTATCGTACTCTCCATTCCACCACTTCGTTGGGTTATTGGTACCTTTATTGATAGGATATAAGCTTTTATGCACTAATGTCATAGGAATTAAGAGCATGATCGTCTTAAACTTTTTTTTGTTCAAGTCGAATATTTTTGAAGGCATTTTCCAGTTACTTCAACTTCTTCTACAACTGGAAATTACTCTAGATTTTGACGCTTAGCTATCGAAAAACGCAAAAATTTAAAGACTACAACAGTAAATGAAACACCAGAACACATAACATTAAAAACTCTCTTTTTCTTTCAGTTTTGACAGCTCTGCGGGACTCTTCATGCCCAAGAATTTGCACATCCCAGGCCTATGGAGACCCAGTCTGCGGCTCTGACGCCATCATCTACCCCAACATCTGCGAGCTGAGAAAAAAGACCTGTGGCAAAGGCGTCAAACTCTCGCCAGACCCCGACCTATGCAAGAGATCTTCCGGCTCCAAGTGTGATCACAGGTGCGGAAACGAAAAAGATCTGGTTTGTGGAACAGATGGAAGAACGTACTTAAATCGATGCATGCTGGAAGTGGAGATATGCAGGTAATGGGTTCTATGTCTTGGTTGAAAAGGTGTTGACAGGAAAGGGTTTCAGGCTAGGCATTGCGCTGTCTCATCTGGGTGCCTGCAATAACATAAGTGCCCACAGGGAAAACTGTCCGGTGGACTGCAAACAAGCACCTCAGGACGGCCCTATCTGCGGAAGCGATGGAAACGTCTACAAGAGTACCTGCCAGATGAAACTCCTCACATGCGGGTAATCAGTTATAACTATTTTAATGATGACGAGTCGTGTGTAAAAAAGGTGTTAAATGGTCCGGTTAACTCCGGTAAATGAGCACTTGTAGCAGGATTCCTAAGTTAACGTTGGCTTAAATGAAAGTATGAAATATTTTATGAAACATTTGTTACGGTGGAGTGAGATTAAGAGTCAATAAAAACTAACTGTGTTGCAAAGTTCGTAACAAAAACTATTTATACAACTGAACGAAGATTTGTTGTTTTTAACGTGTGTACTTTAAATTTTTGATCTTGTTTAATCTTTCAGATCCTTTGTTAAGTTGATGCCTATAAATCTAAATTTTGTAATATAAAAATTACTTATTTTGCATAATAAATAATTAAAATCGCTCTAAAGGTTTATCAGAGTTTACAGGCATTAATTAATTATCACGAACTGATTTAATGAAACGTCGTGTTATGAAAATAAATGAGGCATAAAAGCGGGACTTTAATATTATGTACTGGACATAATAAAATCAGTCAACATGGTCGTTCTTCTGCGTTGTCATAGCCATGATCAATTAATTAATATAACCTGAATAAAAAATAAACAATTCTATTATTGTATCAAGTGTAGTGTTTGATTACAGTTGTTTATCTCGTGTATAATAAATTTACATAAATAAAATGCTTAATAATGCGCCTTTAGGGCATGTAACTAGTATTACAAAAGTACGACAGTTTCCATATTTTATATCTATCAAAATTTTAATGATCTTTGTTCGTGACTGAGAAAGTTGAAAAGCACCGTTATAAAAAACGTTAGATAATTTTACTGTGTCAATGTGCAAAAAGATTATAGAAAAATTACTCTACTTTGTATTAAATGTACACAAATAGATTCAAGATACGGGATAATTTCATGCATTGCTACATCAACTTTTTCCCAAATTATTTATCGATGAGACAATGACTTTGTACATAAACTTGAGACAATGCTGCTTTTGACAGTTCATTTTACTGAAATAATTTCAGGAAAACTGAAACTGGTAAGCGATCAGATAAAGATTTCATGTTTTCAATTTACTGGATGAATGGGCTAAAAAACTGACGTCAATTTAAATATGTTGTTGTCTGGAATATATTTTTTGTGTATAATCGTTTCTATAATGAACAGTCTTCACACGGAAATAAAATAATTCATTAAAAATGTCACTCCATCTAGCAGACATCGCTTTATATTTTTAACTGTTATTTTGATTGGCGTTATTAATAATGCCATATACATTTTTTTTCTAGTCAATAATTAGCAACACCTTGTTTATATAATTAACATAAATATGACATCTTTATCTATCTGGCGTATCTGTGAGTTCTTAATAAATTACATTTATTATTTGTCATTTCTGATGAGTATATTTTTATTGAAACCAGTTCCAGTTAATTGAACAAGAAGACAATCGAGACAAGTTTAAATTTAGATATTCTTTGAACAATCAAGAGCATTCGTTATTATTATGCTCCATTATAACGTTTTTAAAAATTTTAAAAAGTGTACACAGCCCCTGGAATCGCGCATCAATATTTTTCTTTCCACGACGAGACATTTAAAACATGTTTCAAATGGTAAATTTTTGTCGAAAAACATCGATTTTACAATTATATTGTATCTCTCGATCTGACAACGAATGAAAAATTCATCACGATTGAGATTGGAGCGGGTGGGTGGTGACTTTTTTTCGTAAGATATATACTTAGTTTCCTTGCAACATGTTTCATATGGTAGTTTCTTGTAGAAAAATAAGCATTTTGCAATTAAGCTCCACCCGCTTGGTTCAGGACGAATAAAAAAAATTATCACAACTGAGATGAAGGCGGGTGGGCGGGATTTGTATTTCACCTTTTTTTTCTTAATGTATGTACGTACTTTTCTTTTCACAACAAGAAACTGAAAACAGATTTAAAAGGGTAAATTTTAGAGAAGAAGACCATTTTAAACATATTTTAAGTTTCTTGTTGTAGAAAAGAGACTACGTATATTAAGAAAAAAAGGCAAAAATAAGCACCGCCCACACACCCTGTCTCAAATGTGATGATTTTTTGTTCATCGTGAGCCAAGGGTGTAGAGCTTAAAATCCTTATGTCTCTATAAGAAATTATCATGTAAAACATGTTTTTGAGTATCGTATTGTTAAAAAAATACTATGTATATTAAAAAAAAAATAAAGCCAAAGATTAAGCCGCACCCTTACCTACCCTGATCTCAACTGTGATGAAATTTTCATTCATTGTCAGATCAAGAGCAATTACAAAATCCATATTTCACTACAAAAATTTATTTTATCATTTTTTTAAGCTATTAGCATGATTTAACCACTCACTGTAAAAATATAATCAGAATATGTGTTAATTTGGCCAGAATTAATTTCTCGTATTAAAATTCACAACTTATAATAATTTTGTGGGTATTAACAATTATAAATATCGTTTTAAATAACGCCGAATTTATGTATAATTACTGTCAAGAAAGTTTAAATCTGTGTTATAACTTACAATTTTAACTCTAAAACACAAAGCTATTAAATATTAAAATCTTACGTCAAACATTTATAAATGGAAACCTCCTTCTGAACTTGAGTTGGAGTGAAATACACACCCAAAATCCTTTACAGATATTTACGGGTTACTCATCAATAAAAAACTATTCATTAGGTAATAAATAGTTTAAAATTTTCCTCGCATTGTTACGTTTGAGGAATTTTACGGTAATTTACCCACAATAATTACATACTCCGTAATAATAGTAACTGCTAAATACAACAAGGACATTGAATGCACTTAACTGTAAGTACGCTTAACGCACTTCCTGTGCCAAAAAAACGGGCAATTTAAAAACGTTTACCTCCAAGTAATTTTTTAAGTGACCGTTTTCAGAGGTGATTAAAAGATGTGATTTTTATGCTAATGAAGTAATGAAAATGACCGCGGAATTACCGACTTGCTGCATGAGAATCGAATAAATTATACCTGGATGTAGCAACAATTATTGACTGCCAGATATTTTTAATTAAAATTTTTGGCATGACAAAACTGCAGCCAAAATTAATTTAATTATGTTTAAATCAACAATGTACAGTTTTCATAATTCTTTCGAGTATCTCCCATCTAAAATTATACGCATAAATATGAACTGTCAATGCTCAATTAAAAACCCAAAATTTACCGATGAACTTATGGCTTTTTTAATTTGTTAATTTAATAAATTAAACACATTTAGCACTCGTGTCAACAGTTATCTCAAAATATTTATTGCTCGATATGGAACGAGTTTAACAAAACACTTAAGAATGCGGTTTGATAAAGATGGTGGAACAGGTCAATAATATTTTTTTCAGTCAGTACATTTTACTAAAAAAATTTGAAATTTTTAAATTAGACAATTATCGTTCACTCTGTTGCTAATAAGTTGGATGAACTCTAACAAATCTGAATATTTCAGACAAGGAGTAGTAAAGACAGACAAGAAATACTGCCAAACGACACGACATTGCCGCGAGTCTTGTTGGAGAAACGCGAGACCTACTTGTGGCTCAGATGGGAAGATTTATGCCAACGTTTGTCGAATGAAATCAAAGAACTGCGGGTAAAAAGCATGAATTGTCCAGTCATTCAATGTTCAACTGCTGCTTCATTACAGCAAACATGTTTTCGAAGTACCGATGGCGTACTGCGCTAGTCAAGAAAGGACATCACACAGCATTGGATGTCCTTCAGGATGCGGCAATGAAATCGAAAAGCCTATATGTGGCTCGGACGGATACGTTTACAGACACGAGTGTGAGATGAAACTCCTCAATTGTGGGTAAGTAACCGTTAGCAAGATTTATCACACGGAATCGAGAGGATCAAATGCAAAAAATATCCATGTATATACTTTGATTATTATTTATTGCAAGCGATTTTTTACAAAACGAGGTCGTGTTTCCTGCGAATGTGAAACGAAATTTGTGCTCGAAATTCTATTTCAGGATATGCAAAAATTTTTTTTTATTTAAATAGCAAATTTTTTTTAAGAATTTTTTAGAAAATGGTCCCTGTCAAAAATTTAAAATGACGTCCGGAGGTTGAGTGAATCCTTAATTAACAATAAATTGGTGGACAACTAAAGAAGTTTTATTGAATTTTTTTTGCATATTTTGAAAATGTGATATGATATAGAAATTATGTTGGTAGGTTTGCTATGAAATATTAGAGTTTTTTTCATCTTTTTCTTTTATTTCTAAAAAATAATTAATGAGATTTCGAAGAACGTGCTTTTAATAAGTCACCCTGTATACTTATATGGCAACTCTAATGAACTGAAAATTTAAAAACACAACTAAATGGGGCGCCTCAACGTATCTGCATTCTTTTCTTAAAAAACTAGAACCAGTCCCACAGTGCTGCTGTGCCAGAGAATGAGTCATACTTCCTTAGCACCGCAGCACTGCATAATTTTATTACCCAGAAGTTTTAGCAAAGAACACTGATCAGTGTTAACTATTGAAGACTGAGATACAAAGAGCATGAAGACGCGATGGATTTCTTGACACAATTCATCCATTCTAACAACGTTACAATGAAACTTTTCAGCTCTCACCGAAGAGTATCGAAAGTGGACTTCGAGAAGTGCAAAGGAAAACTGACGAAATGCCTCAAAGTGAAATGCCCGAGTGATGTCGATCCCGTTTGTGGCACGGATGCACGAACATACACCAATCAGTGTCAGCTGAATTTGGCCACGTGTTTGAAAGGGGTTCAGTTTGCTCACGTCGGAAATTGTACAGCGCTAAAAGAACAAGTTCCATGCCCTACAAACTGTGATAATGAGACTGAAGAACCAGTATGCGGATCTGATGGCAACGTCTACAGGTAAATAAAAAAGCACAAAGTTCGGGTACCGAGGCACTTCAATTAAGATCGGCGATATTTTCTTGTACGTCGTGATAGATGTTTCGAGACTACTTCATTAAATCGAGATTAATTTTCATGTCCTGCTCTTGCGTTTTTCGGAGAATCGCAATCCGTAAAATAAATTAAAGCGTTCCAGTTGAATTTCATGTTTCTGACAAGTGTGCCACCTGCCTTTGCAACAAAATCAGGTCGGTAATTAATTTGGAGGTTTGAGAATGAGTAGCAACAGGGGAAGAGTTAATTAGAATCTGTATTCTGAAATTAATTTTGCGTAATTACACTGCATTATTTTCTTGTGTGAGTTGGAAATAATGACATAGTAATGTATGCCCACTGCAGTGATGAATGTAAACATTGTTGCTCAGTATTGTTGATTAATAGCTAACGAACCGTATACATTAATAAATCGGAGCTGAATAAGAATGTGGTTGACTATTATCATCGCTACATATAGCCAGACATGCGTTGAAGTAATTATTTTTAACAAACTTATACAAGCTATCCGAAATGTCGCCAACATTCTTAAGGACTATGAAGTCATATGAAGTTTTTTAAATAGTGTGTTAAGTATTCATTTTGTTCCACCTGTATTCAACTTTGTTTGAATCATTGTGATTTCTATATTCTAAACCTTATTGTATCTGCATTTAATTTATAGATCAATTTGCCATATGAGGAAAGATACTTGCGGTCAACTGGTCACTCAAGTACCCTTGCACCACTGCCGAACCACCGCCTTGTGCAACCAGAAATGCGACGATGACAAAATTTTTGTCTGCGGTTCCGATAACAAAATCTACAAGAACGAATGCGAAATGAAGCGAGATAACTGTGGGTAAGTTATTGCAAAACTAGTATGAAATGTGATGTATTCTGTGGAAAAATTTAATACAAGCTCTTATAGTACAGAAGGAAATAAATTAAACGTGACATTTTTGCAGCAAACATGTGTTTGTCGTACCAATGAAGCGATGCCTATCTGGTTTCTTGTTCAGAGGATGTCAGAAAATCTGTCCGACATATTATGACCCAGTCTGCGGCACTGACAACATGACATACAGCAACACTTGCTTCTTAGAATTGGAGAACTGCAGATCTAGATCACTTGTTGCCCTGAAACATATGGGAACGTGCGCAGAACCAATTAACGAGATACCTAAAAACTACTTGTACTGATCTACTTGTTCTTGTTGTGGTTGTTTGTAGAATTAATGAATTTTGTGAATTATTAGGAACGAACTTAGAAAGTATGTGAGAATGGCTAAGTCGTTCTTTATAATGCAAAAATGATATAGGTAGAAGCAATTAGTTGTGAACTTAGAAATTCTTGCCTGTGTAAAAATGTCCTCGTATAGTATAAATGACTAAATAATGGTAAATAACTAATGCGATTTATTTATTTATCTAGGATTATTAAAATTGTGCCAATTGCCAATTTAGCGTAGATTATAAAGTTTCATTATCTTTTTTATTCATGCGCAATAAGATATTTATTTATTACCGCCCCTAATGTAGCTGAGCTGTGTTTCGTATTTATTTTATAAGATATTTACATTTTACAAATGTAGAAATAATAAATTTTTATAAAAATTTTATTTTCGTTTTATTTAAACCAAAGGTGTACTTAGTATTCCTGATATACCTATAAAAACATCGAATCGTTGACTGATATTATGCAATTTTATGCTTTATCTCACAGATCTACAAGCAGAATGAAACGTTTGGAAATTTATGGTTATGGTTAAGAAACTGTAATTTAATGCGGATAAAATCCAGGCTGAGCATTTCTCTTCAAAAAATTGGAAAATATCGACTCAGTTTTATTATACTTTATAAGCATTCACAATTTCGTAATAAATAGATTGTGAACGGCTATGTATATCTAAGGAAGTAGCTCTTTTAATAAAATTTTCAACAATTAATTTCATAATTAAAAAGAAACGTTCCTTATTAGAAGTGTGATAACCCAAACTTCCCGCCTTAAAAATTGACCTTGAAACAGTTTGAGAGGCCCGCGAAAAATTTAAAAATTCAAAGTTTGGCCTTGGCTATGATCGTCTAACAAATGAGAACCTACGTTGTGTGTTTTTTTTTTTTTTGGTTTTGAAAAATGGCGGGAAGAAGTTCTTTCATACAAGTGCATACACTGTCGAGAGCGCAAGAAATAATAGACAAAAATTGTTTTGGAGGGGGGGAAACGGCACCACCCTCACAGGGGGAAAGACGCTGCGAAGAATTACCCCTCAGCGCAAAAACCCCCTTTGGTTTTATTCCCGGACGACATATTATTACATTTCAAACACCTTAAGATATGTGAAAGAAAAACACTCGCGAATTGACAGACATACACACACGAAAAACGAACAAACGGAAACTCTGTACATCTGTTTGGAATCAATGCAAATATTGGAATATCACAAGTTTAATAAAACAAAGCAAAAACCGAATCAAGTAACTGGATGCAAGTACACAAGTTATTACAGGCGTGTGGCGGCCGATCTCTTTTCCCTTTTTAAGTTACGGCAGTTAATAGGAGCACAACAAAAGTACCCCTGGAGCGTTGTAGCATAAGCGGAGTCTGAGCTACCGGTCTGGAACTGTTCTCCCCCCGCGACGATGATTCTATCTATCGCAAAGCCTACCCCACACGCATATCCCATGACGAACTTTGCCCTGCGGAACTAGGCCATTACGGTCGTCCAACCCGCAAAGATCTCGACTATTGGGCCAAATCGAGAAATTCACAACGTCGGCGGCCGCCCCCTGAATCTATCCAAACCTGTGGACTTGTACAGGTGGCGCGATAAATCTCGCCAGCTCGACTAGGAACCAAACCTCGCTTCTGCCACGTTTTCTGTGTCATTTAACCTCAATTCCATTTTAAAACATTCAATCTCTTATAACTCTGATGTTAACAACAACTGAACAAGTGTTAAAGTTTCAAAGAGCAATAAACAACATTTAAATTCGCCATACAATCTTGTGAAATCTTAAACAACAAATAATTCTTATGTGGGATTAAAGTTGGACATCAAATAATTTATATGATAGAAAACATTCATCAACAAAGTATTTACAAAACAAAACTTAGCAAGGATTTATGAGACGAAAGATCTGGTGTGAAATAAACTTGTACAAATAGAAATGTTATGTGAGGTTAGAACTGTAGGACATGAAATTTACGTTCAATTAAATTTATACAACAAATAAAATTACTGAGGTTAAAATTGTGAGATTAAAGAAATATTGTATGATGTGAAAATTTGCAGAGTTAACAAAATTTACATGAGATTAATTTTTGCCACACTTTATCAACGGTTCAAACAAAGAGTTTACATTATGCCAAATTATATCATGATCTAAATGATTGGTTACTTCAAAAATAATTTACTTTGAGAAGTTAAAATACTACGAACTGGTTACCCCAACAAAACACATAATAAACAAATACAAAAATATCCAATCATCGCTCCGAGGGAAAAAGCGTCTCGGTGATGTAAATATCCAAAATCGTTGCGAGGAAAAAGCGTCTCGGTAATGTAAATTTTCTGTAGCGTTGGGGGCATGCCTTAATTAATTAATCAATCTGGCGTTGCGAAACATGCCCCGATGAATTAATCGTGATAACGATGATAACCACCTAAGGGGAGAAAATATCATAACCCCCCGCCAGTCCGCAGTATAATGAACTTGTTTAACTGCCGTAAATGAACTATTAGCAATCTTGTGTGAAGAATTTAGAAGTGTTATAATGTAACACTTACGTATATGCATCCAGAGACCTATTCGTAATTAAACATAAGGTGTTTTTCCTGACTAAGTGAATTTCATGAAATCTTCTAGCAAATGGTTAATTTAAATAATCCTGATTGTTAAATTGTGTTTGCTCTAGCTGAGTATTAAGAAAAAGTAGCTTGATTTGTGAATTTTCAAACAAAGAACAGATTCACAACACGTGTTCGCGTCCGACCGGAAGTCTGCAATTTTCGATTAAAAGGGCGCAAGAATTTACCGCGCGGGTTGGGGACAACTGTATCATTATGAAAAATACGTTTGATCGTCGTTAAACAAAGGCTTCCTCCCGTTTTATTAACTACCAAACCCACTAATTTAAACCTAGTTCTTACCACGTGGTCACACACACACAGCCACATTCATAATGCCCTACCATGCCGTTTTTCTACCAACCCTCTAACTGAAATTACCCTAGCGCTACGTGCTGCCATCTAACCCAAAGATCATGCAACTAACTCCTAAGCGCTACGTGCATTAGACCATCCATGCATATTTGGTTGCCTATGTTTAAGGATTTCCTTTTTGTGATTGAACTCTTTTTTTTTTTCAAATTAAAATTATTCAAATGTGATTTCGCGCCGTTGTCAATTAATTTCAGCGCGAAAAGTTTGATTTAAATTCGGTCACCACAGAAGCAATAAGGATAAGCTGAAAAAAGACAAAGCAAAGCTTAACCTGTCCTTCTTAGTTGAACTTCATTTGTAAACCATGTACAGTTTGGGACACGGAATTTCAAACGACCTGTCAATCATAATGCCAATAAGGTATAAGACTACAATGTTTTTAAATGTCAGAAAGTTGGTTGTCGTTTGAAATTCCGTGTCCCTGACTGTACTATGTACTCCAACAAACATTTCTGGAGATCCCTCTCGACGAAGTGACAACACAAGAAACCAAGCACTGACAACACCTGGGTAGTAGTTTTTCAATTGTAATGTAAACAATAACTTTTCTCTACCAGAGTATTTTATTAATTTTGTATTATTGTTACTGACACTCCGAAAGATATTTGTAAAATGTACAGAATGTTTAACAAGTGTGGACTAATGGAGTACCTAATCACCCTAATTATATTCAGTATTAGATAATGCACAAAGTGAAATTTATGTTTGAAATAATTATGTTGGTATTGCAGTTATTTGACGGAATAAATCACAAGCCAATAACGCGTTAGTGTTGCCAACAGATTTTTTTAACATTAAATTTCAAAAGTTGCTTGACAACTCCTTTTTTTTTAAGAAATGGGATTGTAAGAAATATTGCCTAAAATTTTGAAAATAACACTTTTTCAAGATTCAAGATCCAAGATTAATTTAACAACACGCATTTACTCATTAGCATAGTAGTGGATTTCGTTTTATCCATCCACTAAACCGTTCAACAAGAAATGTGTATTACTGGTTGCATGCCTAATTTCTAAAAACACTTTGTAAGTAAAAAAGGTTTCTATGAATCAACAAGCAGCTTACAGTTTCCTATATATCTCTTATGTCACTCTTTCTCCACATTTGACACTTAAAGGACTTATTTTAAAACCTAACCTTAATTTTTGTGAATTAAGTTCTATGCAAATTTTGATTAACAATAAAAATGCTTCCTAAACAATTTTTGGCAACATTCAGGAAGTTGTTAACATGTCAGACCAAAGTCATGCAAATAAATGAAACCCGCTCCTTTTTTATGGGTGCACAAAGATTTAGAGATGTAATTGATAGAAAGGAAATGCTTCGGTCGGTCCCAAAAATGGATGAAGGTAGTGTCGGTGAAAAAGTCCTTGATGTTGATACATTAATACATCAGTAAATTGCACTTGATTTTTGTTACACAGTGTTTTAATATACATTTTATAGGAAGGGAGACATATTTCCTGATGCTGACACCCCAAATAGGTTGTTTAATGGCATCCCATTTAAGAATTTACCAATAGTGAATGTAAGGGTGTCACCAAATAATACTATAGTTAGTATGTCAGATGATAAAGGTTTTTGTTAGTATATATTTTACTTAACACTCTTTAATATTTCATGATTATAGGCGTAGTAAAATTACTTAGGTCTTGTGGTGTTGAAGGCTTTAAAAACACAAGAAAAGGAACAAATATAGCCGCACAAGCTACAGCGATTACTTTAGGAACTGTAAGAAACATCGTTATGAAATTATATGGTCATTCAGTATTTTATTTTTAGAAAGTGCTAGAACGAGGAATAAAGACAGTTAGGGTACGCGTTAGAGGCTTAGGTCCTGGAAGAATGGTACGTGAACTCCAATAAACAATCAGCCTTTAACTATCAGATCTTTTTCAGTCCGCAGTTAAAGGTTTACAAATGGCAGGTCTAGAAATTGTCTCAATCACTGATAGTACACCAGTCTCATGGAACCCACCAAGGCCAAGAAAAGCAAAGAAGTTGTAGTTTCTACGGGACGAAACTTCCCATTGGTTGATCGAAATTAAAATGGAAGCCCCCTCGTTTAAATACTTGCATGGCGGACGCAGTAAAAAAGGAAAAATCAATTATATTTTAATCTTTTTATTAAAAATAATTGCTAATAAAGACGCCATCTAGCGGTGGCTTCGTGTATCTTTATTTTTACACCTGTTGGATCTCTAGAAGTGAGACGCAGGATACGGGGATGCTGATGAATGATAAAGATAACACGAATGTTCGTGTTTTGTGAGCAGTGACAGTATTATGGCGTTTTTGACAGATATTTCGGGTGTATGTTTTTACAGAATATTAAGTGCATAATTCAATGAAAAGAAAAGGAAAGCAGATCTAGGAAATGTTTGGAATTGTAAGTGGATAGTTTTTGTTATTATTCTTTGCACGAATGTTAAATTCCTCTACATTCCGGTCGAAGGATTCGCTGCAATTTTATGGTTATTTTTGGCGAATCTTTGTTAACATTGCCTCGATTTAAAAGTTTATTAGTTCGATTTGACCTGTTTTGTGCGATATTTATAGCGACTGTTAAAATCTGGTGTTTTAAGGCTTCTAATTTCGTTGCATAAATATCACCATGTATACTTGAATATTTCAAGTACATTTATGTTTTTTTTTGACTCAGTAATAATAACCAAAGATGTATTGAAATACACGAGGAATAAATAATTCAATAACACCACCATAAATGGGAGCACTTGCCTTAAATACTTTAATTAATAAATGGTCAGTGGCGGCACGGTTGGTGTTAGTAAAGGCGCACGGACTTGCAAAGGTTTGTCGCCGGAAATCGAGTTGTTACGTGAGGTATATGATGTAATTTACCAATTTGGAGAGTTGATGAAGATGTGTAACGATGGGTTGTAGGTCCTCATACTTAATGTATAGAGTAGCGCCATTAACCTGCCGATCGGAAATGAATTAATAAATATTTCCTTGCAGGTGTGAGTGAGTGTTTTGTCGAATGTAGAAAAAATGCCATTTCCTGTTTGGATCGGTGTGATGCTATGCGAGTATCTTCGACATGACGAGAATCCGAAATTTTGTGGATGATTGTACATGGTGCTGATTCCCTTTTTAATTTGATTTTATGTGCAAAAGTAAAAACGTATTAGACGTTCACTGCTAGTACGATAAGTTTTTTTTAATTTATAACGTTTAGCGATAAAAGATATCGACAAATTATAACCTCGGAATTTGACAACTTTAAACTATTAAAAACAAAAACTGATTTGAATGTTACATAAATGACTTATTTAAATTTATTTTTACTTTGCTAAAAATTCGCAAAGTAGTGCGTGATCTGCATTTTTTAACAGCCGTGTGTTTGTTTTCCGTCATTTTAAGGCTGTTGCTACGGTGAAGTCGGCGAGTGCCGATTAGTCCTTCATTAAAATTTATAGTGAAATGACGGTAGAGCTTATGGATAAAAATAATAGTTTTAATCAGGTAACATAAGACCTGTCTTCAAATTCCTGATAAGCAAACTTTATAAAAACATACAGAGCATTTCAGTAAAAAGAACCCACACTAAATAAATCAGCTGTTGTTTACTTTGAGAAAAATCCAAAAACAGGTGAATTTTTATTTTTAGGGAGACACATTTTGGTTTCAGACTTGACCTTTGATGTTTTATACGACTGCATAAATTAATTATTTTGAAGTTTGTTTGTCTTTTTTGAAAAAAAAAGATATTTTGACGTTTAAAATAATAATAAAAAAATCCGGTAGCATCATTAGTTTTCGATACGTTTCAAAATGGCCAGAAACTAAACATTTCGGGATTAGTTCGATAAAATTATGAATATTGATATCGGTTGGTATTATTGCTTGTCGTTCTGTCCCTAACAACTGGGGTAACTGCACATGTTTCTGTAATAAAGCAAAATTCATTACTTGAATATTTGAATATTCATTCTTCTTCTGATCTGCATTTGAGAATTTAGTTGTGAGCTTTTTAGATAATCCATTTCCATTGAAGTCGCCAGATCTCATTCCACTTGTTTTTTTTTGTGCCCTGACTCAGTGGTTGACATAATAATTGCATAGTGAATACAGGCTTTACCATTCTATAGAAATCAATGGACCTCATTGTGAACACTTGCAAAATTAAAGCTAATTTAATGAATGTATCTATGTATTTCATTGTATTAAACTTAAAATGTGTTTTGACTACTTAATTAACAGCTAAAATAAGTTACCTTCTATGGTTAGGTATCGTTAAAAGTTTGCTTTATGTTATACCGAGAGAGTAATAAAAACACGATCAAAAACGGCAAAGTCAAATTGACAAAACGAAAATTCTATCAAATACAAATCTTCAAAAATCCATGGCTGTCTCTGATTGTGTTTTATATTGCTCTCTCGGTATTATACCTATAGTATACTATATAACCGAGAAAAAAAGTCGCCTAACGCGCTTTGAAATTTATTCTTAAAAAAATTATGTTGGCAACATCATCGGCTTAAGTGGGATTTATAAACTTGCTGTTGACGTTGAAGTTCCCTCTGGGGTTGCTTTTAGAGCTGAAAATTGTCATTTATAAACTCTGTTGCAAAGTTGCCGTTGATAGTAACGTTGATGTTCAAGGTTTGCTGTAGACGTAAAGTGGAGGATTTTAGTTAATTACTATAAAAAGTTACCATTTTAGACATGTTTTAAGTTTCTTGTTTTCGAAATAAGTCTACACGTATTAAGAAAAAAAGGCAAAATATAAGCCCCCTCCCACCCGCCCTATCTCAATTGTGATGATTTTTTTTAATCGTCGAGAGCCAAAGAAGCGCGAAATCCTTATCATTTCTCTACAAGAAATTACCATGTAAGACATGTTTTTGAGTATCGTGTAAGTCAAAGATTAAGTTCCACCCATAAGTTTCTAAGAATAAAAAAAATCATGACAATTGAGATGGGGTAGGTGGAGTGGGCGGGGTTTATATTTTGCCTTTTTTTTCTTAATATACATAGTATTCAACACGATACTCAAAAACATGTTTTTAATCTTTTGTAAAGAAATAAGTATTTTGCAGTTAAGCTTCGCCCCCTTAGTTCACGGTGAATAAAAAAAATTATTCCTTTCACAACATGAAACTGAAAACATGTTTAAAATGTAAAATTTGTATAAGGAAATATCGATTTTGCAATTAGACTGCGCCCCAAAATTGCAAAATCCATATTTCCTTGCAAAAACGTACCATTTTACCTTGTTCTAAGTTTCTTGTTGTGAAAAGATGGCTATGTATATTAAGGAAAAAGGGCAAAATATAGCCCCGCCCACTCGTCCTGTCTCAATTCTGATGATGTTTTTTTATTGGTCGTAAGCGGAGGGGTGGAGCTTAATTGTAAAATCCTTATTTTTGTACGAGAAATTACCATGTGAAATATGTCTTAAGGAATCGTGTTATACAAAAAAACTAAATGTATTAATTAAAAAAGAAAACCAAAAGAGAAGCCCCACCCATCCGTCTCGATGTCAATCGTGATGAATTTTTCATTCGTTGTCAGACCGATGGGCGGAGTGTAATAACAAAATCGATATTTCCCTATACAAATTTACCATTTTAAACATGTTTTAAGTTTCTTGTTGTGATGATTTTTTTTATTCGTCGTGAGCCACGAGGGCAGAGCTTAATTGCAAAATCCTTATTTCTCTACAAGAAATAAAAAACATGTTTTTGTGTATGGTGTTGTTTAAAGAATACAATGTATATATATTAAGATAAAAATGAGCCAAAAATTAAGCCCCACCCTTATCCATCCCGAGCTCAGTTGTGATGAGTTTTTCATTCGTTATCAGACCGAGGGGCGGGGCTTAATTGCAAAATCGATTCTTTCCTCCAAAAATTTGCTTTGAGTTTTCTCTTGCACATTCTTGCATATAATTTTTCAAAGAAGCGGGTTTTACTGTAGTTGTGCAGTAAACTTCAGGGGCAAGGGAAGTTCTGTCAAAATAACTTTCGACCAATGTTGTTACATGTAGAAATATAAATACAAATGTTACATTTATAAATGGACAGCAGATCTTAGCCATAAAAGTTATTTTTTTAGACATAGAAGATAGTTTCTTCGGCCAAATAGATCGTCAAGAGCAACAAACAAAACAAAAATAATTCCATCTTCTAAATCTTTTCAATTTAACAACCGTATGTTTCGTGTGGGATTTATAGTAGGCAGCGGATAAGCTTTTTGTTTTAATAAAAAAAAGTTCTCTAGTAGACCATGAAATTTATTTTTAAGATAATGATTGTATATTTTCGGAATCTAGAAAACTCGACATCCTCTTTGAGAACTTCTATAGTGTATCCCCATTTCAGTACTGAAAAAAAAAATGTAAATTTGCTGGCGAAATTTTCGTGTGTAATATAATAAATCGTTCCTGTAATATTCACGCAGCACACGCCAATATGCGTTCCGCACAGTGAATTTTGGTAAGCAATTATTCACATGATATGCTGTGTGAAAACGACGTTAGATAAGTGGTTAACTCTTGTGGCAGATATAACCTAGCATCAGTGGTGTGGTTGTAACATGATTAACTGTTCCCAACATGAATTATACTATTAAATATTTAATGGTGGTTTAAGCTTGATCTTGAGAATTTGTTCACGTGATCAATTAACTGCATGATTAAGTTAACAACAGTTTTATAAACCGGATCCAGGTTTTTTATTCTTAACGTATACGAACACATACACTAATCTAATAGTTGAACGGAATGCAATATGATTCGTAAATACCAGATTTCTTGAAGACTAGGTATTAAAATTTTAAAATTTGAAACATTCACTATTACTCCTTTCGTTTGTTATTCCTTTGTCCCTTAGTGTTATTTTTACGAATGTCTAATTTCATGTTTTCGTGGGGTCTCGCAGCTGGCGAAACACAAAGTTTCCCATTTCCTTGTGTTGGTGGTCTGTGCGTGGTTGCTGGGCTTTCTGTGGGAAATTTTTCGAATGAGTAATCTTTACTGCCGCACGGATTATTCTGAGAGTTTAATTGTTCATTATGGCCACCATGAAGACGTAAAATATATTGGGCGATTTTTTGTATTCCTGTAAAATCATTCAAAAACTCTTGAGTGAATTTCACTTATATGTAATTTTTACTTTCGTTAGATGGTGGTTATACGCT